TGCTGCTGCTGCTGCTGCTGCTGCTTCTGCCGCGGCAGCGGCGACAGCGGCGACGGCGGCCAGCATCTGTACGTGAGGGAACTACTTGCAGCTCTCGAAAGTTCTGAAAACTACACCGTATCGCGATAATTTTGTTTTCCCCGTATGTAGCATTTTCCATATTTTCCGGTTCAAAGTGCACCGGGTGCAACGAGCTGAGCTGACACAACATTGTTACGTACAAGACTGCGCGTGTCATGTGCTGGCTTGCCGGTCCCGATGTCGTACTCACCGGTGCTACAAGCGCTGTTTGAACGCACCATTCACACCTTTATGCACTCCTCAACTGCTGTCTATTGAAGCCTCTATGCCTACTGCTGTGCGGGCGCAGCTCCCCGTGGGGCCTTACAGATGCTCGTCACAAGTGTAATCAGTCGACCAATTTTCCACATGCACGTGCTTCGCGATCATCACATATTGACAGCACCGGACCCAGGCAACACTACAGCAGTAGTTATCGCTTTGTTTTAGTAATTCATCCTTGTGTATTCTCTGCATATACTGCTGCCGTGATGCGTTGCTGCGGGCCGATCACACTCCCTGCACGAATACAATGTAATGTAAAATGCACCTGACAGGATTGTGATGCCCCCCCGCGCTACGTACAGCGGAAGAGGATGTAGCTCTACTGTGGCGTGGTTTTTATGGTAGACAGGGCGGGGTGGCAAAGAAGGTCGCAAGCCTGCGATTTGCTTTTCCTAGCGTGACGGTGCTCTCCAGAATTGTAGGTGTGCTAGTGTAAAAAATGCATAGCAATAGCCCAATTGTATGCGAGAGTCGGAAGTACTTGCTCTTGAAGCTGAATGGAATTTTCTGCATGTTTGCCTCTCATGGCCACTACCAGCGATACCCCTGTCCGTGCTGACGTCTCGGTGGTCTGTTATGATGTCTCGGAGAGACGCCCGACTTTTGACTTTTTTTTTTATGCTGGAGAACAACGGCACAGCAGGCCACCCCGTTCATCCCTGTGTACCTGCGCGCACATGATGGCCAGACCTAAGCTGAGCGCGATACATGTGCGACTGGTGGTCGAGAAAGTCGAACTTTCTCTTGGTTTTCAACGCAAAGTACCATCTACGTTGTTCGATGGTGCATTTCCGAAAATTCAAGTTAGTAGTGTAAGCTTGGGCCACGTTGTGTTGTGTCAACTTGCAGTCGTCGTCGTCGTCGTCGTCAGTGCTGCCAAAATACCCGTACCACCTCGCGCGCCCCTTAAAAACAACACACACACACGCACCTGTCCATAACCTAGTCCCTCAACCCAAAAACAACGAAGCACACACACAACACACACCAAAGTGTTGAGCTAGGCTGTACGACACACTTTCGAAAAAAAAAGCAAGCAAACACACGGCGCACGTGGTTAGTGTGACGGTGCAGGCGTACACGGCCGAAATAACACGTGGTAAATGGCAAACTTGTACGAGTAGAACAGCCAAACGCGGCTGCACCCCGTTTAGATAGGCCTCCCTGGGTCATGGCGTGGGCTCCACCGTTCAGCTGTGACAGGGACATTGGGACGAGATACATCTTGCGTCGGGGAGAGAAATAAGTCTTCGAGTGAGCTGTTTTCGTGGGAAAAAACACACCAGAAGAAACAAAGTTTAAGTTCGCCGGTTCAATGCCACAAGAGAAAGACGGATGCAACGAATACCGTGCGTTGCCTTTGCGAATGCCCAGGGGGGCGAACGAATTTTTCAGGGGAAAAACGAAGCTCCGAGGCAGACAAAAGGTACAGGGGCATGTAAGACAAACTGCCTCCTTGACGTGTTGGTGAATGAACCACTTTGTCTGTTGTGGAGGGGCGATCTCACGGAACGGGTATCGTGAAGGGATATTACTGTGTACCCCAGTACATATTTTGTACACCACGGCACAAATACAGCTCATCCTACAGGAAACTCCATCGACCCGAAAGCCCAAGCCACCACACTAACAGCATAAATAGAACGGCCGGGCACCAACGCACATGAGCTACGCGTTGTCGTCGTCCACCAAAAAGTCTCCGTCGAGATCGATCCCGATATTGTCCATGCCGTCGAGCGAATCGTCGCTTCCTTCGCTGTCTTGCGATCCTTCCTCCCAAATATCTTCGAAATAACCTAGGAAATCGATCAAGGCGCCAGGTTAATAGTATGGGTTAAGAGCTAGGGTTTGACGTATTGCCATTGGTTATAGCTGTTTGGGTCAATGCTTTTCACCTATGCGATTGCCTCTCTCCCGCTTACCCATATTCGGGTTGACGAGGATGAACGATCATGAATGCTCGCAACAATAGATAGCGTGACCCGGGATTCGGGATTCCTTGCGCCCTGTGTTCAACTGCTGAAATATTGAAAGCACGATGGTGTTGTTGTATGCGGGTGCCTGGGTGGCCCGTGGGGAGTAGCCTACACCAACCAAATAGATACATGCATTTCGGCGCCGTTTACACAGCGCAAGCGCAGCCCCTCACCCAAAGGACGCCGTGACTCCGATCCATCCTCCTCGCCGGGAAGCCTAACCTCTCCCCCCTCTTCCTGAGGTGTTCCCTGTCCCCCCTCTTCCGCGGGTGTGTCTTCTGTCCTCTCGTCCTCTGATGTCTCTTTCTCATCCATTCCCACTGCTCCTCCTGTCGGCGGGGCCGCCTCAGCGCCAGCTTCCACATCTGAACTCAGCCCTCCCTCGTGTCTCTCTC